AAAATTAGGAACAAATCAAAAGAGACTACAGCTGTGAAATGAATCAAACCGCTGGTCCTGCCTTTCGGGTTCCCTTTGGTAGAAAACATCTTTTGCAATGTATTTTTTTATTATTTTGGACTTAGAGCCGTGGAGGCAGGGGGGAAGCCCTGCAATCCAGCACCCACCAAACAGAGCAGTTATTTACTAAAACATGATGAAGACAGAGAAGGATGGGTCTCCAAGGGCAGCACCTTACCTGGATCTGTGCCTTGACCCATTTTGACCACCCAAAGGACGTGTCACTGCTCCAGAGGCTCATCCATAGGCATTCCAGCAGCACCAAGAGAAACCTCCTGCGTGTTTGCAGCTCTTGACCTCGGTCCTCTCCATTTGCTGCAGCTTAATTGGGGTGATGTGATTAGAAAGGTTCAAGTCCAAGCTCCAGGTCAGCTTTTGGGAGCAGCCCCTCGGTGAGCAGGCTCTGGGGATGTGTGTGTTTGTATGAAGATGACCACATTAAATTTAAGCAGAAATAAATGGTAATTTAACTGGCACAGATACACAAGGCTGATATAATCTCTAAAGGTTTGAGGCTGCTATTAAATTTGTTCTCCTTATTAATTTGTGAGCAAGAGGATAATGAAAAACTGGCAACTTTAAAGTTGACATAAAAAGTAAGAGATATACAGTTGGCAAGGATAATTTTATGCACTGTCAAAGTGAAAAGGCTTTGCTAAATGTATGTAGGCAAAGATACACACAGTCATCCTAATGAGCAGTTAAAAGATGGACTTCTAATAATTGAATCATGACTCTTGTCACACTTGTATTTGTTTAATATCTCTAGTTTTGGTTGAATCTGGTTTCGAGTTCCTATCTTAATCAGGTCTGCTTTAGGCTCTTGGTTCTAAATAACTCCAAGTGATGACCATGAATCTTGTTGTCCTATTACCTCCTCAGCTTCTTCTTTCCAGTGAATACAATGTTCTTTCACAACCTCATGTTTAATTTCTGCATTTAGCCAGCAAGGCTGGACAAGGGGGGCAGGTGGGTGATTTGCTGCCATTCAAGGTTTGAATTTTCGAAGAGGAAACCTTCTCTTCCTCTTCTGTAAATCACTTACTAGATTTTGGAAGTACTTCAGGTGGCTCGGATGGTTCCCAGAAAATTTCTTTGCTGGTAGAGCTCAGGGAGTCTTGGCCATGTGCATTGTTCTGTTGGGCTGGTTTTTATACATATTAAAAAAGAGAAGCCCTAAAAGAGAAGATCATTTGTTCTTTAAAACTCTTTTCCTTAAACCAACTGCCGTGGTCACCCTTGGATGGGATTGTATCTTCAGTGACACAGAGCTCTGCCTCACCAATCTGTTCCAAATTTCTCATCAAATTCCTGAAGTCCCATCAGTCAAAGCTGACAAGAGGTTCCACTTTTCCAGCTCCTCTCACCGAAGTACACGAGGCTGGGACTGCTCCAAATCTCTCCTTCACAGTGCTCAGATTTGCCCACCTCATATTAATCTATTGTCACTTGCAGCTTCAACTCCTCAAAACTTCCAGTTTTCTATATTTTTTTAAACAGAAGGAGTGGGAAGATGCTTAATTCTCATTACAGTGAACAGGTTATCCTGTGTTTCCATGAAAAAAAAAAAAAAGAAAATTTATTTTTTCCCACCTTCCTCTGCATAAGAATCTTTATGTGCTCAAATCTGTCTTTGAAATCATCCATTTTTCTCTTCTTTTTAACTCCAATCACTGGTTTTCTGGGCTCAAGTCTTTATATGCTCAAGTCTGTCTTTAAAATCATCCATTTTTCTCTTCTTTTTAACTCCGATTGCTGATTTTTTGGGGCCTCTTCAATTCCCAGTTCAAAAGAAAGCAACAATTATTTTGCTTCAAACTCACCCAGCCCTGAAGACGAGGCATTTATCAGTTTTTCATGGCCACCCTGTTTATTTTCAGTTTATTTCTCCAGTTCTATCAGAGAGCTGTTTGCTTTGCTCAGCTCTGCAGGTGCCTGAACCGGCGTGGGGAAGAGAGCAGGCTCTGCCCCCAAAAACTCCCACAGCATCCTTTCAAAAACACCTCTTGGGATGCAGACAAGCCTCCACGGGCTTTTAAAGGTCTCAGGACAGATTGAAAGTGTTTGAAGAAGAGGGGGCCGGAGCTGGCTGGAGTTGAGGGTGTGAGGAGAGGTGACTACGGGCCCTTTTCATAAACAAGATTTTCAGAAGGTTGGAAAACATCAAAAGATTTTGAACCAAAATATCAGAGAAATGCACAGGACCCAAGTGTGCAGGAGAAGGCACTAAAAATGCCTCTTGGTTCCTACTTGTGCCACTGGTGGGAAAGGGGAATTTGGGCATCCTGAGGTCCCTGGGAACAAGGACACCTTTGGCACGTGAGAACTGATGGAGGAGCAGGCGGGCACATCACCTGAGCTGAGCTGCCCAATGGATCCCCTGGGCAGGGCAAATGTGCTCCTTATGCAGCTGTGGAGATGCTCAGGTGCTTATTTAGGTGTTCAGGAGCAGGGGTGAGAGCAGCAGGACCGGCATGGCCAGCACAGGAGGTGGGGGAGCCCCAGGAACTCCACACGGAGACCCCACAGCCCCTTGCTGGGGGTTGAGGAGGGGGCACCCAGCTCTTAGAGAGTGTCCAGAGGAGGCAACGAGGATGGGGAAGGGCCATGTGAGGACACTGAGGGCACTTGGTGTGTTCAGCTGGAGCAGAGGAGACTGAGGTGAGGCCTCACTGCAGTTCCAATTCCTGGGCAGGGGCAGAGGAGGGCAGGGACTGAGCTCTGCTCTGGGGGGACCAGGGACAGCACCAGGGAATGGCTGGAGCTGGGACAGGGCAGGCTCAGGTTGGATCTCAGCCAAAGGTTCTTCCCCCAGTGGGTAGTTGGGCACTGCCCAGGCTCCCCAGGGCAGTGGGCACGGCCCCAAGGCTGCCAGAGCTCCAGGAGGGTTTGGCTGATCCTCTGGGGCACAGGGGGTGACTCTTGGGGATGTTCCTGTGCAGGGCTGAGGGTTGGACTCCGTGATCCTTGTGGGTCCCTTCCAACCCAGCCCATCCTGTGACTCTGTGGTGGCAGGGGGAGGTGGTGTCACACTCGTGGCACTGCCACCCCACACCCTCACCCCAGCACAGCAGCTCCTGCCTGTTCATGGAAAACTGCATCAGACGATGGAAAATGAGCAAAATGTGCCTCCTGCTACAAAAGTGTCACCAGGCAAGCTGTTGGTGGGGAAGAAACTCTGTGTTCTCCAGTATGTGTGGATATAAATAAACACAGGCTGTGCAGATACTTCAGATGTCTACTAATGCATCTTGTATTTATGTCTGACTTGAAGAGATACAGAGAGATTAGTAAATACTTCAAATTGACAGCACAGACATATTTTCATAGAATAAATGATGTTGGTAAGTGGTGAGACTTTTCTTCCTTCCCTTCAGGAAATGGGGAAGAGTTGTTTCCATCGATATTATTTCCAATTTTTTTCCCTCAGGAGAGAGAAAAAGATCTCACTGAAGATAACGTATTTGTTGCTGATTAGATTTCAGTGTTATTTTTTTAAAACCTCAGATCTCTTAAACCTATGGGGCACCTATGAAATACACACTCATTTCTTTCAGGACACTGCAAAGACCTTCGTTATGTTGCCCAGGTACAATTCCTGGAGGATACTCCCTTTCTTTATTACATTTATGATTTCTTTTTAAATCCAAACCTTAAATCAGCAATTTCAGGTCTTCCTAAAGAAGGAAACTACAAAACCCCAAGAGTCCCTACAAGCCTTCGTGCACGGTTTTGTAGACTAAACTCCATTTATTTGTAAACACTGAAAATATTTCAGTGATGTTGGTTTTAACAGGCCAGAACTAAAGTTGTGAAAACTTCTGGAAAACCAACCAGTCTGATCACTTGGTATTTCCTGCAAAGAAATAGAAAGTAAAGAGTAAAACCCCGCAAAGTTACACATGAAAGAGCCTCTTCTGCAACTGCTTGCCTAATTATGTGGGATGATTTTTTATTAAGCAGATTTTCTCCTGAACTCAGACCCAGTTTCCCAGAGTAGCCCATGTCTCTTTAACCATCAGAACCAGGGGGGTCCTATCCTTTTCACACTGAAAACAATGGCAAATCCAATTTAATTCCACAGGATCCAGCTGTAAGATTCTTTATAGGAAGAAACACAAAAATTGACAAGTTTTATCAGGTCTTTTAGACTGCTCCCGTCCCGTTGTTAACTCTGGGCATTCCTTTGCCTTTGCCTAAACATCCTTGCAGCCTTTGGAATGAACACCCCAACCCCTCTGGTTCTGCAGCCCTGCCCTGCCTTCTGCTCCTGCAAACATCCAGCCCTTTTAAAAAAATAAATGAGAAATTATTGTATTGATCTTTCTTTTGTTTGTTTGTTTGTTTGTTTTGGAAACCAGATGTGATGTTGACGAGGCGAACGAACGAATTTCAGCGTTTGCCTTTCCGTACGAACACGGATACCTGGGGATAGAAGGAGCAGCTCCAGCTCCGTGCTGCGCTGTGGCGGGTCACGGCGTCCCGCGTGTCCCCCCGTTTGACGGGCACATGGCGAGGGGTCAGTTGTGCCGTGTCGCCCAGCTCGGGACAGCCTGGCACCCGCACTGCCCGCGGCATCGCTCCCGAGCTCAGCGGAGCGGGGGGGCTCGGCAGCATCACCCGCACGGGCTGGTCCTGACCCACCGACGGCCCCGCGTTTGTGGTACCCGCGGGATGCTCCATCGCGGGATGCTCCATCGCGGGATGCTCCATCGCGGGTCCCCCTCGTCCCGCTGTCCCCGAGGGGGGTCCCTGTGGCCCCGCTGTCCCCGAGGGGGGGTCCTCGCCGGCCCGGCCCCCCCCGGGGGCGGTGCCGGGCCCCGCACAGGTGCCGGGATTGGGCGGAACATGCAAATGCTGCGCTGACGTCAGGGCGGCTCCGGCCCGGAGAGCACAAATAGGGCCGGCCCGGCCCGCGCCGCGCACTGTCCGCACCGCCCCGCACCGGCCCCGCACGGCCCCGCACCGCCTCTGCAGCTCCGCGCCCTGCCCAGGTGAGTGCTGCCGGGAGCGCCCCGCGGGGTCCTCGCTGTGCCCCCGCGCATCCCCGCACAGCCCCGCGCATCCTCTCGCATCCCCGCACAGCCCCGCGCATCCTCTCGCATTCCCGCACAGCCCCACGCATCCCCGCATCCCCGTCCCCGCGGGTGCTGGGGGGGCTGTGCCGCCCCGCGCTGCCGCCGCCCCCGCGGACCCCCGAGCGCTCGGTGCCGGCCGGGGCGCGGGGACGGGCGGGCTCCCTCGGCCCCGGGACGCGCTCGGGGGGTCCCGCGTCCATCCTGCCGTGGGCGGGGTGTCCCGCGGTGCCCCCGTGCCGGTGTGCGGGGCCGCGGGGCGCGGGCGGGGGTCCCGTCTCGTCCCGCCGCGGTCGCGCGTGGGGCCCGCGCTTCCCCCCGTGTCCGCCGGGGGGCGATGCGGGCCCGGCCCGACGGGGCTGGAGCGGGGCCGGGAGGGACGAGACCCGCCGGGAATGGGGATGGAGCGGGGATGGAGCGCTGGGAACCGCGGGATTGCTCGGCTGTGACATCCGGGGCTGCTTCCCCAAACCCCCCGAAATGCTGCAGACGCGCCGCTGCGTGCCCGGAGGAGGGTCACGGGAGGGGTGGAACGGGACTTCTCCAGGTGTAACCTCGGAGCAGACCTGCGTTTGAAACGTATTCGGATGTCGAGCCTGGAAACCCGTGGTTAAATCCCTGCGAGGTTCAGGAGCTTTTTGTTAGTCCTGCATCCCTGCTGGATTGATGCTCCCTAGGTTTCTGCTGGGAGCACTGAAGGTCCTGGGGAATTTCAGGATCAAATGAAATATTTTCAAGTAGCTTTGGCTCAAATGAAAAATCGGGCTTGCACTTAAACATCACAGCTGATTCCAATGAGTTCTTAACCCATCCAGACTTTAAGTATTTAACTACAGACAGCTGACCGAAATCATTATTTGGCTTCACTGTGTCTTGCTGAAAGGTTACCTTAGATTGGATTTGCTCCTTAATTTTGTAGCCATCATTATCGTGGCTAGGCTTCGCGAACGAAGATTGAGGAAGGCTCTGTCCACGTTTGTTATAAAATTTTGTAGCACTTAACAAGAAATTATGGATGTCAAAATTATTTTGTCTGCCATAGAAATGCAGTTTAGATAAGGCTGGAGCAATTGGGAAGGTTGATGATAGGAACTAAGGACCAGATTGTTATCTGGTGTTAATGGAGACAATTTGTATAGAGGTAACAGTTATGTCCAAACACTTTCTTTTTGCTATAGCAACAGATAACTCAGATAATTCAGAACTTCAGATAATTAAGTTTAACCTCTTTCTTTCTAATGTGAAACTTGTTGGAAATTATTGAAAGCTGTTGCAAACCACTAATTTCTCAAATAGGCCACAATTTAAGTAGCCCTGAAAACAAAACCAATAACTGCTTTTGGCAAATTCCTTAATCTTATTATAGCCACCATAATTGAATTCTTAAAGCTTTTGTGTCATGGAGGAGAAAGTTGTGGGGTCTCTGCAGCGATCTGGCTGTCAGACAGCTCACGTTGGATGTCACAGAAGTGCTGTGAGCAGTTTGTGCTGTTCTCCACTCAATGTGCCCAGTCCCTGTCCTTTTTCAAGGTGACCTTTGATGCTTGAGTAGCTCCAAAACCTGTCCCCTAAAACCTGGGCTTGTCTTTGGCTTGTATCTGCTTACTGTTATCCTTTGAGTGGAGACCCTGCACCCATTTGCTCGTGATTTGAGGCTCTCCCTCTGTGTTGGTGCCAGTCCAAACCCACCTGGCCTTGGATGGGTGTTCTGCTGTCACTGGTGCCATTGTTGCCTTCGTGTTTGAGCTTCTTCAGATCACAGTTCATAGCCTGGTGCTGCTGTGCCTGTGGAGTGTTTCTTGCTAGAGCAGTGCCAGCTGCAAGGAGAGCTGTGAGGCTCTTCTAGCTCAGAGAAAGAAACCACAACCTTCAGGTAAACTTTTTGGCTTTGCAGAGTATTTTCTTTATCACAAGAGCCAAAATTGCTTTGGAAGCAAAGGAAATGTGTCACAAGTGAATGTGATGCTCAACTTCAATATAGTCTGGTTTAGTTCTAGTAACAGCATTAAAATTAGGAATTCCTGCATTATGGAGCAGATTAAAATGTCTCTCTGCTCACATGCAGTGGTAAAAGCAGATGTGTTAGAGACTCTCTCCTCCACCCCCAGCTCTTGAGAGTCTTCTCAGGTTTAGCTGCAACTCCCTTGTACAGGCTTTGATTTATCTGGGCAGTGGTGTCCATGCAGGCTCACATCTTGCAAATCTGTGCCTCCCTCAGGCAAGGGAAAGAAACTGGTAGCAAAATTTACAGTGGTGGTCTGTATCTATTCAATCACTTGGAGATTTTCTGTTGACTTCAGGGAACTTAAGCCTGCCATCCAGGAGCTGGATTGTGAGCTGCAGCCGTGCAGGGCTCTGCACAGAGCCTTCCCCTCAGCTCAGGGTGAGGGGGTGCTGAGTGAAGTGACATGAAAATGCTGTGTGACTGCAGAGTTAATCCTCACTTGATATTTATGGTGCCTATTTGTTGCTTGGTTGAGGCTATTAAGATATATAATGTATATTACATTAGCGTGTCCTTCTCTCACTGTGAGTGAGAGCAATTAGTGTCCCGTCAGTCAGCATGCAATAAAAATAAGTGATTTTTAAGCTGACTAGAGAAAGATGTTCTACAAATTCTATTTATAAAACCACCAGAGTTTCTAGCAGGTGGGGGCTGCCCTTTCATTTCATCAGTGTCACAGATCCTAATCCAAGCACCTTCATGTTTTCTGGCTGTTAGTTATTTACTAAATATACATTAAACTCCTGAGTGCCCTGTTTTGCTCCAGGACTGTAATTTCAAGCAGGATATGAGTCAGAGGTCTCTAGAACTCTGAAGTAGTATTTGCTCTGATGGTATCGACTGAGCATACAAAATACCTCTATAAAAGAAAAAAAAAAAAACAACCACCCCAAAAAACATGTGAGAAACAGTATTGCTGTGCTAGAGCAATTCATAATGTAACAATGTGCTTGTCGCTTATTGATAGAGTGACTTTGGTTTATTAAACATTTATTTGTAGCCCCGGTGGCGTTACATTGGAGCTTTCTAATTGGAATTTAGAAAGCCTAATAAATTTTGATTTCTTCCTGAATGCTCCCCATTCAGGGTGTTTACATGAGTGCCGAGGAAAGGCACTGCCTGAGCTCTGCAGGTGCTGTGGGCTGTGCTCCCTCTAGTGATGGGGTGTCTTTGGGCAAACAAAATAGCTGACACTGAGTCGCTGCCGCTCTAAATGGTCATGGCTCCAAAATTAGGAGGCTTGGATATACCCTGCAGCAAACACACGGCAGGAGAACACTGTAAAATGAGTCCTGTCAAGACAAGGTATGTCATGGTGAGTTAATTCAGCTCGGCTTAATTTTGCCATTAGCAGGTAATGTTGGGGTGTGTGCTCAGCCCAGGCAGCAGCCTGGCCCTGCATCCTGTAGAAATGCCATTGCCTGCTTCATTAAGTGTCATTATGCTTCATTAAGGGGTCTGTGTTTGCATCCTCCACAGCTGTTGGGAAAGGTCACAACTTCCCTCAGCCACCATGGAAAGGGCTCCAGGACTCCTTTGGTATTTTAATGGTAGAAAGTAAAAGACACAACCTCGCGTTCTTGTCCCCGAAAAGTTGAGAGGGAGCACAGCTCCTGGCTTAGCTTGCAGGGCACCAGTGCAGGGCTGGGATGCGTGGAACACCATAGTTCCATCTGACACCACTTGGAGTAATTGCATTGGCTTTGCTTCCAAATTCATTAAAAAACCTGCCCAAGGCAAGGACCACTGCTCAGAGTGGATGCAGACGTGGTGGAAACCCGGGCTTGACTCTTCCCAGTTCCCTGCAGTTGATGTGGGGCTGTGGTGGGGCACTGCCAGGGAGAAGGTGCTGCTCCTGAGTGGGATGAGTGGCAGGGCTTGGAAATGGCTCTGCCTGGGACAGAAGCAAATGAGCAGAGAAGTCACAGCCCCAGTTGGGACTCACCTCCATCATGACTGGAGAAACATGTCAGCTCTTTTCAGGCAGGATTTATTTGTCATTTGATTTGTGTCTTTCAAGTTTGGGTGGGTTTGGTGACCCTCTGGAGGAAGAATGAGTGTCCCTGTGTGCTGGGTGTCAGCTGTCACACCTGACTGTAGCCAAGGGGGGTGGCAGTGGCTCTATCTGCTCGAGGCAGCATCACCCTCTGAATCAGAGGGGAATAGTGATATAGTGACATTTCTGTCACATTGCTGGGAACCTCCAGTGGTCAGAGAAGCAAAATGGATGTCTGGGGTTTTCCTGAAGATCTGCTGAGGGTACAGGTGTGAGTCCCTGACTGTGAATGACCCTGTGCTGCTGGGGGCTCTGGAGAAGGAAGAAAAGTCACCCTTTGGCCTCTACGGTACCATAATATTGTGCTTTGGTGTGGTTTGCTTTTGGCCACAGTAGTTACAGAAATCCCAGGACTCTGGTTCTGCAGGAGCTGTGTGGGAACAGCATGTCCTGAGGAGGACAGTTTTGGGGTAAAACTGCTGTGGGGTGGGACTGTAGTGCTCCATGGGCACTGCCCAAGTGTGGATGGACACCGTCAGCTGCAGCTTCTGCCGTGTTACTGAGCCCGAGCTGGGTTTGGCTGTGAGATGGTTGTCCCATGAATGTTCTCTTGTTTTCAACAGACTTGAAACGATGCCATCAAGAAGCTTTTGGTGCTCTCTTGTGTTGCTCGGGGTTTTCCCTCTGGTCACGAGGGGATGGATGGACGTGGACAGGAGCAGGAGGCTGTTCTCGGACGCGGGGAGGTGGCACCAAGAGGTACCGTACACCAGCTGCTGCTGCAGCTCCAGCTCTTGCCTTTCTATTTTGGGGCTGAGTTGAGGCTCTCCATGCTGAAAACAAAAAACAAGTGTGGGCTTATTCATGTATATTTGTATTAAACACCTGCTGAGGAGGTCAGTGAAGCAGAAGGTTTTAGACTTACTGGATATACTGACATCATCTGGGAGGGAAATTGGGCATCTGGCTGTTGTGGAGGTGCTCTGTCCTGGGGCTGCTGGGGCTAATGAAACTAAATTTAATAAGCAAGCTTTGTCCTGGTTCTTTACTTGGGTCACTGGACCTTTAGGTCAAACCTGATAAAAAGCTCTTTTGCTGCTTAAAAAAAAGGAAAACTGAGACACAGATAGCTCTGAGAGAATCAGCAAAGTGACTTCCCGGGAGCGTTTCCCTCCTGACTTTGTGATGTGAAACTCCTGTGAAGCACAAAGCCATAGAAAAGGCCCCAGGGACAGTGGCTGTAGCCAGGGGTGATGTTCCTCCACCCCAGTGCCTGTCTCCTTGGGCTGGGGGGAGCCCTGTGCAGGAGGGCAGGGCAGTGATGCCCTTCCCAGTGTTCAGTCCCAGGCTCATGGAGGAGCAGCTGAAGGTGTTTTCAGTGCTGGAGGTGCCAGTGTTGGCTCTGGCTGCCGTGCTGGGATGGAGCAGGTCCCTGGTGTGGCAGGGGTTGGGTGCAGGCTGTCCCAGCAGGGCTGGTGGCTCTGCCCCAGGGCTCGGTGCTGCCTGCTGAAATATTTAGGCTCATATTTTCACATGTCCGAGGCTGAGACTTGTGAATAAAACCGTAAAAATCTACAGCTGTGGCTTTCTTGAGCAGTCAGTGCTGAATGCTGAAACAATTTTAGTTATTTAATTAGTTCCTGATGATCATGTGTTGGCTAAGTGGTGGCTCTGGAAGTGGGAGGTGGTGGGGGAGGCCAGGAAAGGGAGCCTTGGCTATTTTTTAATTGCCAGTGCCTCCAACACTTCTGTCCTGGCAGACACATCAGTCAGTGCCAGGCTAATGATAAGACCTTGATGGATTCATGTTGCAATTGGATCTCTTTAAGCCTCAGGATCTGGTTCTAGCTGGAGAATCCCATTTCTCCCAGTCACATCCCATCTACAAACACCCACAAGTGTCTGCATTATAGTTTAAGCCAATTAAAAAGTTACTCTTTGCTGCTTAACAGGACTCAAAAGTCATTTCAGTGCTGTTGCAGGTTCTGAGTTCTGTCTCAGGTGTCCTTTTTTTCTGGAGTTATCCATCCTCTGGTCTGTAAAAGTGAAGAAAAACAGTTCCCCTCCACACCCCCACTGTTATTTTGCTGCTGTGGAGGCTCAGGTGATACACTGGTACTCTGTTAACCATGTTCCTGTAGAGTCTCAGGTCACTTTTGCCTTTTTATTAAAAATAATTAAGTATTTTTCATGCTTTTGCAGTTGAAAAAATCTCATTCTTCACTAATGCATATTAGTTTTGATTTTTGAAAAAAGTTACTCTGAAGAATTAAATTCATTACTCAAATAATTTACTTTAACATAAATCACAGAACTATTACATTACTTGAAAGACACTAATTCATTTGATCTTTCCCTAAAACCCATGACGTTATTTTACCAATTACTTGATCTTGCTTGAGGTGGAAGAATCTCAGTGAGAAATGTATTTGCTCAGGTTTGCTCAGAATTTAACGAGTGTGACTATTAAAATTTTCAATGTACAAAGAATGCAATTAAAAGAGCTTCAAGGGATGAGAGTTATAATTCAGATTTTTGAAAAAAATAACTGTGTAGAGAGCTTGTTTCCACAAGAAATAGTCTTTATAAAAGTATGGCACCAAACACCAAGATGAATCTGAAAGCCCTGAGCAAAGCTTTTGGTAGGTCAGGGAGACTGAGATAAACACCTCCTGAGAGAGAACAGCAGATATTTTCTCTTGCAGAAAATAGTTTAGCCATAAAACCTTTTTAATAACAAAAATCACCTGAAATTCTTCTGTAGTGATGCTGGGCTTGGTTCAGTTTGGAGCTCCTCATCCATGAGAAGTTCGTTAGGCACCAAATTTTATGACTGGATTAATATGCAGAGCCATTAACATGCATTTGAAAACATTGAATCACAAATAGAAATGCTCCTGGCAATTCACTAAAATTGCTTTAGAAACGAGTAAAGGGTTAATTTACAGGTCAAGTAATTTGAAGTGTGCTCTGATGGAAAATTCCTGTGAACTTCATCAAAGCAAATACTGGGGTATGGGTCACTGACCTTCACTAATACTTGTTCTGATCTACATAGGAACAAGTTGACTGAATCAAAAACGTTGCTTAATTTATGTTCAGATTGCTAAATTGATTTCTTCATGGCTTGTGGTAGAATTATTGCAGTTGTGCTTTGCATTTATAAAGGAAAAATAAGACTACACTCTACAGTCCTTCTGATGAGAAATGAACTCTCTAACACAGCAGTGGTCTGTGTTTTTCTTGGTGCTCAGCCTTTCATCCCTCAAATTTTTGGGGTGTTCCTGAGAAGAGGATTGTTTTCTGGAATATTTGTAGTCCTGATTAGGTAGTTAATAAATACATGAATGCAGGATGAAATTCCAATGGTGTAGAATGAGCTAAAATAGAAAACCTAATTGAAAAAAGGACAGCATTAGGATTTGAAGTGGAAACTTGCAAGTTGGCTGGTTTGTGTTAATTTTGGAGAATACTCTGTCACATTTACACTGTGAAACTTCCCATGGGCTGGTTCCAGGGGGTGCTGGGAAGCTCTTGAAGCTTCTGGGCATTGCACATGGACTTGGGTGCAGCTTCTCAGGGTTGAACCATCAGAGGACTCAATCCTACTGAGTGGAATAGATGCCAAAATACTTAAATATATAGAGGTCACCACTGCAGAGGGGTATTTTTGGACGAGTTTTTGCCTCTGCCTTCAGCAAGTCTGATTCCATGGTCAAGCTGGATGTGTTAGGGGTGAGCACGATTCGTGGGCAGCTCTGTGCTGGCTTAGAAGGGCTTTGAGCTGCCCACAGAACACCAGGTGTGTGACTGGGGTCACCTCTTCCTTCTAGAAAGGAGTTTTATAAAATGCAGCTCTGTGAGTCGTTGCCAGTGGCAGCGAAGGGACTTTCCAGCATGAGCAGAAAAAAGACAAACAACCTGGATCTGAAATAACCCTGGAGTTTGGATTTGGAGGAGAACTTGGCCAGGAGGCTCTGATGGAAAGCCAGGGGTGTTAGTCCACTCAGTCTCTCAAGGAACTCCACACTCGTAGCTCAGATTGATTTTTTTTTTTTTTCAGCCTCCTGGGGTATTTTGCAAAAGCATCTAATTCAAGATTGAAATTTGACAGCCAGCTTTCCTTCTGCCATTCTCTGCTTTCTCTGGCAGGGGCTGCTTCCCTGTGTGTGCTGAAGCCAAGCTGGTTTTGCCATAGTTCTTGGGACAGGTTTTCCATCTCCCTTTCCCAGCCCACGGGGAGCAGAGCAGTGCTGCAGGACTTCCTCAGCCCAGATCTCCCATGTGCTGCAGGGAGCTCCTCTAACAGGAGTCATCTCAGAAACTAAATTGTGTGTTAGGTTTTCTGGGGCACTGCTGGTGGGGAGCTGGAGCAATATTATCCCAGCTTGAGAGCGTGAAAGTGGAGAATAATCCTGTGTTGTGGTACACGAGTAGTTGTTTTGTGCTGAATTGTTAAATATTTGGATGTCACCAAGCTCCCAAGCAGCTCCAGCAAAGGCTGGCAGACATCCTGTGGTCTGCTCAGGGCTACAGAACCATAACAGCTCTGTGGTTTGCTAGAAATACTTAATTGCTTTAATTTGGCTTTCATGCCGTGCCTTTTTTTTGTTTATTTATTTATTTTTGCCACCCATCCTCCTCCTTAAGAAGCCTGAGGAGACTGCAGGGACCTTGATCGTTCCTCCCCATTGCTGTTTGATACCTTGTCTTGCTTTATGCCTTTAAATGACATCAGCAACCTCAGAGCATCCTGGGTGGTTAGACCAATGCTTATTTTCATGCTCATAAACCCAGCAAACCTGCTCATTTTTCAAGGCACCATAACTTTCTCCATGCTGGCAGGTATTGGCTGGGTTGCTGCCCGTGGGTTTTGTTCAGTAGTTATTACTTGACCAAAGCTGTAGACACCCCCTCCCTGGAAGCATTCCAGGCTGGGTTGGAAGGGTTTGGGAGCAGTTCTGGTCTAGTGGAAGGTGTGGCAGGGGTGGCACTGGATGATCTTTAAGGTCCCTTCCAAACCAAAACAATCTGTGGTTCTGTTTCTGTGGCACCTGAACTGCTTAAAACCTCCAAGGATAAATGTACCTCAAACCTCCCTCTGCCTGCAAACAGCTGGGTCAGAGCAGCCCTTCAGTGCCATCCTAGCCAGGATAAAGCACCTCTCTGGAGTCCACTCACAGCCTCCACTGTGCTTGGCTGGAGGATCAATTATTGCTGGAATTCCTCATTATATTCAGATTCTTCAATGTTGCATCACTTACTGCTGCATCTGAAGACCACAGCCAGGCTATTCTGAGCAGCAAGGGAGTCATAGGGATGATTTTTTGCTCCTTGCCCCAGCAAAGTCATATTTCCTAACCCAACAGACCAGGAAAGGAATGTTTTGGAAAGCAAGGTACAAAATTGCAAAGACTTTTATCAGAAGATTTTGCTTCTAATTCAAATAGAGACACAATTTCAGAGCACGAGCTTGGAGTAAGACAGGCACAGTGTATCAATTTTATATGCAGTTGAAAATCTAATATCCTGGTATTTATTTTAATTATTAGTAGTAGTCGTGTGTTCTTTGCCATGTCAGTGTTCTTTCTGCTTTTCATTCAGTTTGGATTAAAAAAAGGAAAGAATCAAATTTGAACTTAAATCTGTAATGGGCTCCAACCTGCTCCTGTTTAAGCATTAATGAAGGTACATGGAGACAAGAGTGAGGTTTATTTTTGTATCACTGTGGTATGTAGTGATAATTCACTCCCTGTTACCTGCATTGAAGTGCTATCTCTAACAAGCTGTAATTGCTTTTTTGTGGAGCAGTCCAAATCTTAACTAGTATATTATCCCTGTAGAGATGAGAAGCTTTAGCTCTGAGTGCTGGTTATCAGAGCATCTGCAGTTCAAGGTGCTGTGGAATGTTTTGATAGTATCTGTCTCCTGACTGTTTGTTATATATATATTTGTTGGGGTCCTTTCTCTGCATCCCCAAACCCCACCTACCTTCTTCTGTGTCCTCAGAGGATTTAATAAATGCTGTATCTTATGGGATGCTCTTATGCTCAGAGTACTAAAAAATGTGAATGCTGTGCTACTTGGGGCAAAGCAGGCACTGCATACTTGAATAATAGCAGAAAATTTGAAGAATTTTGGTTTATGGCCCAGGATCAGGGATTGTCAAGGTGCAACTGTGAAAAATCAAACCTAGATGGGGAAATGCTGGTGTGTTTCTGAAGAAGAGAATAAAAGCAGAGTAAAACATGTTGCAAATAAAAAAAGAAATCAAAGGCAGTCTTAACTTGGCTGTGATGTGGCAGAGGGTCACACTGATATTCTGTTCAGAAGCCATTTAACCTTAAAAGACTAAATATTGACTAATTTTTAGCATATTCTCCCTTTAAATAAAAGGCTGCAGCAGTAGTTTTTAAAGGAAGACAGTTCTACTTAAAGCACTTTGTACCATCAAGCAGGGGAATTATCAGTTCCTTAGATTAGCCAGGCTACATCTGCAAATTTGGGCTTTCTAAAAACAGCCATCCCAGGAGCTTCCCCATGACAATGTGGAAATTTATGGAGCTGTACCTGGGTTTCTCATCTGAAGTCCAGAAATAGCAGTGAGCAAAATCAGAGAGGCAGCAATTACCTCAATTAGCTGCCTTATGGCCGAGCAGATGATCCTGTGTGATGTGAGACATCAGAGCTTCTCTCCGTGTTTATACCAGACAGGACAAATCTAAATTGCCAGTGTCTGTGCTGGTAGCAAGCTTTTTCAAAACAGGAGCACGTGATCTGGTTTTTTTTTTCCCCCACGTGCCTGATCAAAAAAAAAAAAAGGTGGATATTCTCTGCCTGATTAGTGAGGTTTTTGAAAATGTTCTGTGTTCTTGGTTGTAAACAGAAAATCCTGATTGTCAGGCTAAGCTGTGTGTTAGTCATAACCTCTGCTGATGCTACAGCCCATGTGCAGTGTCTTACCAGCCCTGTGCTGGGTGTCATTTCATTGAATGGTTTCGGTTAGAAGGGACCTTAAAATTCATTTATTCCACTCCACTGCCATGGGCAGGGACACCTTCCACTAGCCCAGGTTGCTCCAAGCCCCGTCCAACCTGGCCTTGGACACTTCCAGGGATACAGGGGCAGCCACAGCTTCTCTGGGCAACCTGTGCCAGGGCCTCCCCCCCTCCCAGGGAAGAGTTTCTTCCCAATATCCCATCTACATCTGCCCTCTTTGCTTGACCCCTCACTGGAGATAAGGAAGAGAATGCTCTGAAGGGAGGAAAAAAAAATCCCTGGCATGATAATCTATTAATAGGAAGAGACAGTTCTTTATTAATTTGCTAAGTGAGTCAGGACTGTATATTTAGAAGTAGTGCAGCAGTTGGGCTGAGCCTGAGAGCAGCTCCCTGGAGCCCTGGGGTGTGCAGAGGTGGCAGCTGATTTATTGTGAGCCCCAGTGTGAGCCCAGCTGCAGGGACTGACTTTGATTTATCTGCCTGCACTGCTGTGTCTCCCACAAAGGGTCTGCTAAGGGGGTTGCTCCAGGCCAGCAGTGCAGGAAATTTGTAGGTCTGGGTTGTGTTACCTGTTCTTCTACATCTCTTCCACCTGATCCGTTAATTGGATCCGTTAATCGGACTTCTTCACAAAGTCCACTCTGGTAACTTCTGCTCATAGAAAGGGGTGTCTTTTGACTAAATCTAAATCAGCATTAAAGGGCAGGAGACTGAAACCATAGCCAGGTTATCCTGGGGGTTGCTGTGCTTGAGGGCAGTTGGTACCTGTTTGGTGCCAGCCTTGGTGGTCCATGTTCTATGTTTGTGGGTCAGAGTAAAGGGATGGGAAATGCAAAGCTGTGGACAGAGCTCTAAATACTGAATTCATCCCTAGAAGTGCCCAAGGCTGGGCTGGACAGGACTTGGAGCAACCTGGTCCAGTGCAAGGTGTCCCTGCCCATGGAATGAGATGAGTTTTAAGGTCCCTTCCAACCCAACCCATTCTGGGATTCTGTACCAAACAACCTGACAGTGGTTTTGCTGCTTGAATCCCTCACTAATGACTGTCAGTAAACCCATTTGCAGCACCCTGGATACCAAGCACTGTTGTATATTGTGTGTTCCCTCCGTGGTGTTGTGTTTTAACGCTGCACAATGAAGTTCCCAGTGCCTTGTGTTCGCTCTGAATGAAATCTGATTTATCCCCAGTGCTCTGCTCATCCCTGGGCCCATGACTGAGCATTAATCAGGAGATAAAACACCAACCAGCTATTATGCCTTGGCAGGACAGGTAGATGCTGCCTTCTGAGAGACTGGCATTCCCTTTGTAAGAGCAGAAAGGGGCTTTGTGCAAAGCAGTTGTTAAATTGCCTCAGGTTCACACACACGGCAGCTCCAGGGGAGTGAAGCTCTGTGACAGCAGGCACTGAACTGCAGTGGATTTTGGTTCTGATTTTTGTCTTTCTTTATCCAGGTAGAATTAGTTATCACACTCGATGACACTGTTCTTTAGGAGATGCAGTTTTTTCAGTAGCTACATGGCTGGGGAAGGGCAATCCTGAAGCAAACACATAACATTGATTTCCACATAACAGTGATCAGGCACTTCAGCTACAGAACAGAAGGACCTTTTACTCTGTACTCAATTGACTAACCATTAAAAAGTAGGAAAATAGGTGCTAAAAGTGAACCTTGGCAAATAAAACTGTTGTGTTGCATTAATGAAGTGCTGTTTAAAGGGGTACATGAAGAAGCTTTCTGGAAGGAATGGAAAATCCGAAACAAATTTTTCCTTTCAAAGCATGTGATTTATGCTCTGATAAAATTAGATTTTTAGTTAAAAGAATTTGCAGTCATTAAATGGTGCCCATGAAATAAGTCTCATTTATAACCATCTGCTTTATGGCTTCTGCAGAAAAGTGTTCCTCAGGCAATGCATTCGAGAACTTTAGTGTCATTTTTATCAAAATAGTTTGGATCTCTACTGGTAACACTATTAAAACCTCTGTGTGATCTTTTTTTAACTTGAGAGCAGTATCTTCTAGCACAAGAAAGGTCTCTACCTGGGCCTGATACCTTTTTGTGCTGTTCCCTAAGCCCTGCCGTGCTTGCCAGGTATTTTCCCATTTTTCTGTGTTCTCCTGAAATCATGAGAATTCTCAGTGTCACTGGTGTTTTTCTTCATGGAAGGGATATTTTGGGGGACACAAATGAGAAGTGAGGGTTTGAACTGACCTCGTGTTCTCCCACTGCAGTTCTGACAAGCTTTTCTTCTGAATCCTGCATCTGTTTTTGGGGTAGTTTATATTCATCAGAGCTCATAATTATAAGGGGAATAGAGTAAAAGAAGGGAAACTTTGAAGACCATCCTTTGTTTTTCACGATGTCTGTGCAGACATGGAAGTACCAGAAGGGTGTTTAATACAAGTGAGCTGACACTTGGATTTTTTTTTTTTAATAGAGTCTGATTGTCTATTTTCTTTTGATCAATATTAATAGTTGTAATTAGTTTTAGTGTTTCTCAGCTTTTGAACTGCAGAGAATTCAAACAGCTCGTTCAAGGGAGGGACTCTGGGGAACTTTAAAAGTACTCTTCCCTTTTGCATGTCCTCCATGTACACAGGATTAAGGACAGCAGCTGGGGCTGAGGTTTTTTTATCCTGTGCCCCACCTCTCAAACTAATATTTTGAAAAGCTCTGAGAGGTCCCTGGAGTAAAACTGCCTGTGCAGCTCGGGAGCTTTGCTGCCTGAAGAGGATAAATGCTTTGAAGTCTCTGCTAATCCTGAATGCCAGTGTACACATTGCTCAGGATCACTGAGGTAGCATCCTACAGGGAATAATGACAGTGGTTTTTATAAGCAAATACCCCTCTTTTTGTTTATCCCTCTCAGTTGACTTGGAGGGTGCCAAGGTCTGTTAACAGTCCTTCATGATTCTCTATTTTTAATACTCGTTGCAAGAAGTAACTCCAACAATGGAAATTAAACGTGTTTGTAATTAACCCATAAATAATGTTGCTGCTTGAAATTAAATATTTATTCCTCTGAAGTCTCACCATTAGCACAAGCAGATAGTGTTGTCTGGGAATGCAGTACCCTTTGAGACTTTATGCAGTGCCTTTTTAACAGAAGTTTCTGTATTAGAGATGGTTGTGATGCAAATCATGTAGGTGAGCATGGCTGAAATGAGCCTCTGAGTAGTCCAGTTGCTTTGAAATTATTCAAGTATTTGAACAAGTGTCTACTAAAAGTACCTGTAATGGCTCCTCCTTCCTCAACCCCAAATCTTTGGTGTAGTGATAATAACCCTGCTAGATTGCTCCCTCTTAATATCAATGGGGGGGGAAATCCATTTTAAAGAAAAATGTTGTGTTTCACAATGTAAGTTATCACCCAGTGATGAATCACTTTGTGTTATATTTATCCATCAAATATCTGTGAACAAGCTGAAGTGTGTGCTTGTAATTACTCCTCAGTTATTGCCCTGAGCTTCACAGCTGCTTCCCTGGGTCAGTGACTCATGTTTTTAGGGGGTTTTGTTCCTCCTGCCTTTGAACAATTCTCGTATTTCATAAAAACCACCACCAAAAAATTCTCTTTTTCCTTATAGGACTCCAGAAGGTTTGAAGTTACAAGAAGAAAAGGTAGGAAACCCAGTTTTCTTTCAGTGTGTGTGTGTGTGTTGGTGTCGAGTATTCTTGCAGTAACATTTTAAAACAAGCCTAAGTTTACCCACTTGAAAGGTCGTGCTGCTGGGGGATTTCCAACAGTCTGTGCCTGGTGCTTGTCTGACAGCTCTTGGTGTCACAAATTGTACTTTTTTTTTTTTCAATGAAAAGCTACTCTTTTAGCACAGAATTGCATGATGGTGTTTGGGGTGCAAGGCAAGGTTTGGGTGCTGGCAGGGCACCAAAATGGCTTTGAACTAAAGGAGGGCAGGTTTAGGTTGGATATTGGGAAGAAATCCTTCCCTGGAACGGGGGGAGGCCCTGGCACAGGTTGCCCAGAGAAGCTGTGGCTGCCCCATCTCTGGAAGTGTCCAAGGGCAGGTTGGACGGGGCTTGGAGCAACCTGGGCTAGTGGAAGGTGTCCCTGCCCATGGCAGGGGGTGGCACTGGATGAGGTCCCTTCCAACCCAAACATTCTGTGATAAACTCTGACCCTGGAGCATTTCAGGGAGGAAAAGATGCAGACAAAGCTCTCCATGGATCACTCTGCAGGTGCACCCAAAGGTGCCTCATTCCCTGCTCCTGGGAACTGCTGCCTTGGGAATTAACTGGCTGCTGCCACCAGGGGCTCTTTGCAGGCTCCTGGGTGAGGATGGGCCATCAAAGAGCTCGTTCTGGTTGTCATTAATTCAGATTTTGCTCAGCAGATGTTCTCTGGATCAGGCAGTAGCTTCCCTCATCCGTCCCAGTAGAATGTGAAGTGGGAATCCCTTTCCTTTCGAGGGATTAATGCAATCCCCATCCCCCTCCAGCAGCTTCTTTAATTGCTTCAGGCATCCCCTGTGTTGGGAAGAGGTTGTAACTACCAGTGTTTTACTGCAGAAATTAAAAAGGTCAGGTCCGAGGGTAACTTGTCTTCTGGGCACATAATCTCCTTTCTTTTTCTGTGGTTGTGTTTTTGTGTGTGTTCGTTTTGGTTTTTCCTTCTGCGAGGCTGAGGCAGCAGAGAGGAACTGAATAAATTAAAATATTATAATAAATATATATTATAAATATATAAAAGTATAAATATAAAAATATAATTATATAATACGAATATATAGAAATATAAATAATATGAATATATAAAAATATAAATATAGAAATATAAGTATATAATATATAAATATATAAATATAAATATATAATATATAGAAAATATAAATATATAATATATAGAAAATATAAATATAGAAAATATAAATATATAATATAAAAAGATGAAATATAAATATATGAATATATAACATAAATATATAAAATTATAAAAATATGCTTATATAATATAAATATGTATAAATATAAATATATAAATATATAATGTAAAAGATAAAATATAAATATATAAATATAAATATATAATATAAATATATATAAATATAGCTGTTGCTAAAGGTGAAATCTGTGTAGCCCAGATGTCCAGCATATGTGTGTGTTTGGTCAAACTTCTGCCACTCTTTGTGAAGAAATGGAGTTTTATTGGACTCCCCTCGATCTCAGACCGAGGGAGGGCTCTTGGCTGGGTCAAGGTTGCTTTGAGATGCAGAAGAGCATCTTGGCATCCTGGATGTGGAGACATTCCAGTCCTGCTCTGGCTCTGGTTTGTGATGTAGTCCATTACAGACACACAGATGGAATCCAACCTACTGGGTGTACCTCTAGTCCTAGTTCAGATAAGAATTTCTCTCCAGAGTTCCCTTCCCAGTGAAAGCCACCAACACCTCTGAGAACTTAAATAGGGCAGTTTTTGAAATCAGGGCTGAGTTTATAGATCCTGTGGGTGCTTGGAGAACATTCTTCCAGAGCAATGATGGGTTTGGAGATCCGTGTCTCAGGACACCACATTCCCAGGCTGAGTGAGCCTGGTTTCTTGTTGCCTTCACAGGATGGGTGAGACTTGACTTTCATCTGAAAGGGTGAAACCATAAGTTTTTTCAGAAGTGAATTCAAGATAATGAACTTCTCTGTCAGAGGCTCGTTAGACCCACGGCTGGTATGGAGAGAAGGGGATGAAAATTGGGGGAATTAGGATGTACAGATAAATTTGGATGCCCAGCAAGGCAGTCTGTGAATAATCCAGGCTGCCTGAAGAACTGCAAACTCCTCAGGAGTCAAAAAAATGCTAACAAACGTGATAAATACACCTTGGCCACAAAAGCCTGTGGATTTGCAGAGCTACCTGGGGATTTTCAGTAATGATTAAGTATCTTCTTCTCTGGAGTTATTCCTCAATAGTGCCTATAAAATAATTCAACTAAAGGCTCTTTCACAAACGTCCTCAGTATTAAAATGTGCACAGAGCAGATACCACTTGGTGCCAGGAAAAAAAAAAATAACAGGGGGTTTGAAATGTTTATTATGCACACAAAAGGATTTATTGTAGATTTTGTGATAGGTTATGAAGCGATTTTAATATTCAGGCCTTTTTTCCTCCCTGAAATGGTAATTTTTGTAGATAATGGTTTTTACCCGAGGAAATGAGATGATTGAAAAAGATTTGAGGGTGTGGGGGTTTATCCTTGTTCGGTTCCCTTGGTGGAAGGTTTGGCTTCCTCTCGACAAGCTGAAAATCTTTAAAACTTAAAAATATCTAATAGAAACCCCCCCAAAGGTGAGAGCTCAGCAGACTTACTCTATGCCCGCTTTTATCATCCCATGCTCACGGATGATCCAGGATGATTACAAAAAGAGCTTTTGGGGAAAGGAGGGGCAATCCTGGTTTACATTCTTCAGGATTTTTCTTTATTTCGGGACAAAAGGTTTGAGTCCTTTAGATTTAAAGCAGAGGCTTTTCTTTCAAAGGGAACAAAGCCTCGATTGTTGTCAAGTGTGAAAACATTTTCTTCCCTTTTTTAGCTGTGGATGAGTGTAGTTAAACCGGGAGGCTTTGGCTTTCCGAAGTGTCAGGATTAAATATGCTGGAGAAATTCGGAACCTGCTCCAAAGCCCATTACAGTCAATGAATGGCTTTCCTTTGACTTCCATGGGCTCGAGATCAGCAGTAATTACAGGATCTTTTAATTGCTGTGGTGTGGAGGGGAGATGCCTCCCTGACTGCAGCTGGCAGCCACCTTCCAGGGATGGATGGAGACTGATTTCCTTGTGAATTGAAATGGAAATGGGTGCAGGGCCATTTTGTGCCTGGATTGTCCAACTGGTGTGCAAATATTAACCTTTCGGACTAAAAATAATTTTTTAATCAAAAACCCCCACCCCTCATTCTGGGAGTTGAATAGAAGGCGCAGGAATATTTTTCTTAATTCAGTTGATATTTGGCTCTGAGGGGGTCAGACAGTATCCACCTGGATTATGCTCATGCAGTGGAAACTAGAATATGGGACAAGGTGCCAGGTTTTGTGTTGTGCTCTAAAAACAAACAAACCCCCAACCAGCCAAAAAACCTGAGAACACAAACTCAAAACCCAGCATGTGATAAACAGGCACAGGATTTGAATGCTCTCCATTTATGTTTTTCTGTTGAATTAAAATTGGGGGGGAAGATGGAGCAGAAAGACCTTTTTTCAGCTGTTGAGTCTTTTCCCTTTTCCTGAGTACAGCTCTCTGCCCAAGCATCTGTAGAGGCTCACAAAGCACAAAGAGCCAGGTCTTCAGCAGACACAAATAAGCAAAGCTCTGCTGGATTAATGGACACCTTTGCTTTTTACTAGCCCGAGCACTTAAAACTTTTTAATTTGTTTTTGTGTTGACTGCAATCATCCATTCAACAAATTAGTGTCAAAAGATGCTTTGGAAACCGTTCAGCCAAGAAATGTTCAAGCAAATTGCTTCTGCTCTGACCATATAATCTTATTAAATGAGATGCAGCCCTAGATTTATTCAGACAGGTGACATCACACTGCTGTAATGATGTGAACTTTAACTGCCTGGTTTGAATTAAAAGGCTGGCACCCCTCTGAATTTTCACAAGCTCTGTGGTGTGGCTGTCCCTGTTTGTATATCTTTATTATAGATACACAATCCTCGTTGTTACACTGTATTTCCTAATCACAGTGAGGAGAAATAGAATATGGCTTTTTTTTCCTTTTCCCCCTGAGATTTCCCAGGTTGCTGTAGTTTTATTGGAAAGCAGTCAGCAATGGTAGAAGATCCAGCCAACAGCTTCAGAAGTTGCTCTCCTCAAACTCCTCAGGAACACAGTAAAGTGGCTGTCTGTAATTACCTCTGTACTAAAGCCCCTCCTAATTTCCCGTTCTGTAGGTTTTTTTCCTATTGCTGGAGTCCAAGAAATTTGGTTTTGTTCCTTAAGGCTTGGTCAAAGCCCACCAGAATCAGTGGCTGTGCCTGTGTTGCTCTTCAGAAGCAGCTGTACCCCCAGGATCCTGGGTGTCTGTCTGTCCCAGCTGCATCCAGAGGGCATGATGTGTAAATAAATATTTGTGTGTATATGTTCTGTAAGTGTTGGTGTTCAGAAACACACTGGCTGTGTCTTCAGGACATGCCTCAGAAGTTAAAAGGACAGGTTTTACATTAAAAATACCTATTTCATAGGGTCATAAATTGGCATATTTAACAATTACTCAGTCAAACAAAGTTTTGTCTCTGTCCATCTCAGAGCTGCTTTATTTTCATAGAAATCTTTATTATCTCTGACTTTTCAGGGCCTTGTTATCAGTGACTGCCAATCTGTTACCCAGGGAAGGATGTTTGGGCCAAAATATTAATGTGATGTTTAGTTCCTGTATTTCTAAGCTGAAGAAACTGCAGTTCCATCTCTCAGCAATGATGTTTAATTATAACTGGGCATATTTTGTGGTTGTAAGTGATGGGACTTAACAGAGGGAGTAAAACCTTGTGGAGTGGGAGGAACCCCAAATAATCAACACATTAGGCAGCATGAGGCACAGCAGTAAATTAAACAGGAATGCAAATGCTCCTGGGCAGTTTTACTGTTGCTGTTGGTGTTGCTGGACCAAACA